CTAGCTTCAGTTTTGGCGTTTGTTGCGGATGAAGCAGAAAATCATTCATGGCGTCATTGTGGAAATATTCTCCAAGGTGTTAGTAAGTACCAGGAGTCTAGAGCAACTGGGTACCTTTTCCCGAAGGAGGCGACCAGGCTATTTACCCGGGTATACCAAGCAGTGCCTCACTTTTCGAAAGGGATAGATAGTAATAAGTAGTAGTAATATAGATAGATATTACCAAGTGCCTGACTTGCGACTGCCATACTTCATGCTGGCATACCGTTGTAACCCAAACTTCCTCTATATCACATCTGCAAAACATTTAGGGTGGGAAGAAAAGAAATTAATAGGAATAAAAACAAAATTCAAGAAGAAAAAAAGGATGTAATCCCCCCCGTTTAACGATACACCTGCACTATTCAGGAAATAGGTCTTAGCTTCCGAGGCGGTTGACCAGGTTGACCCAGGCAAGGTACCTCGTAACGCCTAAATTAGTGCCTGCCCACCTGATGATGATGCTGCTGCTGCTGCTGATGATGATTGTGATTCCACATTCTGATGGTTTATTACAATTACGACAAACCGCGAACTGTCGGAACTCCATACATCCATACAGAACCGGACAGACAGAACGTGACAAAAGTACACGGACCACTTCATATAATCCATGATTGGCTCGCGGGAACCAGGATAGCGACATCCGCGGGCTTTTCAGCAGCAGGTCGCCGCAAAGGGTAGGCGGATGCTATTGGCCCTGCCAGTCAGCAGCGGTACTTTTATTTAGCGCCCGTACTAGGTTTACCCCAGCGGCGAACCACCCGGTTGCCCTGTGGGATCCTCGCCTAGTAGTGGAGAGGAAGTACTTACTTGCTGCCCAGACGCCTCCGGTCTGCGGTATTGACAATGTTTACTTTCTCATGGCCCGAATTAGCACTTGTTTTGATGTATTTTATTTTCCTCTTTCCTTTTTGTATTTTTTTTTTACCCTTCTGTTTTCTGTGTTTTCTCTTATGATACTCATTACTTCCCTTTCCCCCTCCTCTCACATTACGCCCATAAATTGTAACCAACAGAGTTAAAATCGGAAAGAAAAAAATTGCGTCTATTTTCCCAATTGGATAGGGAATCAATGACTTACTTTACTTCCCGAATGTTTCATTCCAAAGCTGCTGTCTTCTCCTGTTTGTTGGCATCGTTTGGTTGGGAGGAAAGGATCCAGATGGCCGGTCAGCCAACGTACATTACTCTTACTGACATGCATACCCCGTAGTACTACTAACTAACCCGCTGCTGGCTCCTCGTCAATTAGTCTAATTATTTTTCCCATCAGCAGCAGCCAGAGAGTAATAGTTATGGTTGCTATTATTATTTAGTTGTGGTAGTATTATCATTTATCATTATTATTACTCTCGCCATTACTTACTACTCCTTATTTTCTTTTCCACTGATTTTTCCAGACTAAGATTATCGCTATTGATTTTATCGCCTTGGCTGGCGGTTGTCGAACACTGTGACAACTCGACAGCACTTGACTTGACTTGACAGAACTGACAAGACTAACTAACTAACTAACAACTACTTTTTTTTCTAATTTACTTTACTTACTTACATACTCTTTCGGTCTCGCTGAAATCCCCCGAACTATATCACCACCAATTCCCGCCCTCCGCAGAACACGATCTACTCCCACCAGCTAACTGCTAGTAAGACCGCGACCCTGTTTCGCGCCTGCTGCTGCTGCTGCTTCTTGCTGCTGCCTTTGGCTTCATCAGCCTCCGCCGCTGCTAGCTAGTCTAGTTAACTACTTACTACTTACTACTCTTTCTGGTTACCCTGACACAATTCCCCCTCTCCTGACGACGTTTCTTCTCCGTACGGCTACCTGTCTGCATAACCACTTCGCCCTCCTACTTCGCTTTTTTTTTTATCTTCGACCTTATTATTTTCCTCAAGTTATCTATCTAGCCTCTCCACTTTCTACTCCCGTCTTCCCTCTCACCCTTTTCCTTACTCTCTTTTCAACTACTCTTCCCGATCTCTGCTGTGATATCGAGCTTCCGCCTAGCTGATTCGCACGTCCCGCTTCGATTCAGAGTATGGTTGACGAGGAATATCCAGTGACTAATTCATGATGGATGGTTCCATTCCGCCGCCGTCCACCACGACGACCTCCACCACCTCCTCCATCACTACCATTCCAACCTCCTCTTCATCAACCGTTTTCCGACCCCGCAAATCAGAGGATTGGAATGAGTATCGCACGGCTATCGAGAGTCTCTACCGAGACAACCAACTCAAGCTCCGTGATGTGAAGAGGATCATGGAGCGTGACTATAACTTTGTTGCATCGTACAGCCTCCATTTCTCTTAACTATTTGCCATTCCTGCCCTGTTTCTTGCCTTTCCCACTCGCCCTCGTATTTGTCATTCTTCTCACTTATTGGCTTGCATTGCTTGTCCCTCTGCAGCAATATGCTGTTTCTTCCTTTCACCACCAAAAGCGGAAGAAGAGGACAGTGCGTCATTGTTATTGATGTTGCTTTTTTCTTTTATTTCCCTTCCCTTCCCCACTCCTGGACGAATCAGCTTGGTTATAGGCTTCCCCTGACATTCAAACTTTCTAGAGAAAAACAATACAAAGATCGCCTGGCTGCATGGCATGTCCGCAAGAATATCAAGGCCAAAGAAGTCCATGTCATGATCCGAAAGCAACAGAAACGAGCGGCCCGAGGCAAGCAAACAGGTTTTCGTGTTGCTGGGCAGGAAGTCGACTCCAAACGCATCTCACGCTTTGTCCGTAGATATGGATCGAACATGGAGGCCAATAATTCCCGCGAGGACCCTCCGCACAGTCCTCAGGGCCATCAGATCATCCAGCCCGTCCAGCCCGTCCAGCCGATCCAGGCAACAAGTCCCGAACCAGGTAGGATGCTCCCAATCCGCCCCTAGTGCTGCAATTACTCATCTTAGTCGCCAGAAACTCCCTCCGATATGAGCTATTTTACCCCACCGCCAGAGGAACGAGCAATGACATTATCACCTTCAACAGAAACACCGTCACATTTCCGTGAGATCCCCCACCCCTCTGTTGATTTCTCTTGCTATTCTACTGCATGCCCCGCCAGGTATTCTGTTGGTTTTTAGCAACATGCAGTCGGGATGGTGGAAGATTTAATTGACTCGATAACACAGATGACGATCCACCCGAACCAGTTCGTAATCCAGGAATTGGCAGCGCGCGATCTTTATCAGTCTCATCCGGAACTATGACCAACGACATAACGAAACCAATGACTGACGGGGTCCAGGGGCCAGATGGCTGGATGACCCTCGAGATGTTTCAGGAAAAGCTTTTGAAGCTTTCGAGAACTCTCGATCAATCAATGTCCCGATTTGTTCCTGCGGAGGATCGCAGCCACCAGCCCTCCAATTCTGACCAGCATTCTCGCTCAATCGGGCAGTGAGAAGGAGGAGGATGAAGAACATCAACGTCATTGGACGAAAACAAAGAAAGATCTTGGATATCTGTCAACATCCTTATACTCTGCTATATTCTGTTCTTTGGCAGGTTGAGTCGATTGCCTCCTTCTCCACCTGGTGTCCCCTCTGTAATATTCCACTTTATTTTCCTTTGTCTTTTATTTCTTTCCTTCCCGTTCATTTATTTCACAGAGTGCCGACTATATAGAGCATCCATGGCTTGAATATATTGGGAAATCGGTATAATGTAGGTTGCGATACACCCTTAAGATGAAAGAAGATTGCGGTATTTTGCGGTGACATCTGCGGTTGTTGGCTGTTGATGGTATAAACATTGTCTGACTTGTGACTCTAGTGACCTCATTACTACATCCTTCAGGGAGTGCAGCAAACCTTGCTCGGCGAATCCTTCGGCCCCTACTACGATAGTTCGTTGAATGGGATCCAGGGAAGGTCCCCATTATGCACTTCTGGACATCGGTCGGTATCCACAGCTCGTACGGATACAACCGTGAGTTCAACTGTTGCCACGGTCGGCCTTCCATCTGAGTTACTCCCAAATATAAGGCATGACCGGCAGTGTTCTCTATCGAACGAGCGGCTATAGTTCTCGCTCAACATCTCAATACTTGGTACCCGGTTCAAAAAAGCATACTGATTACGAGCCAAGTGGATGAACATGGAGAAGGATGGCATGGCACATTCTGCGATGGCGTGAAACGCATAATCGCCCTCACGGTGCTTGGGCTCAATACCAAGGCTCACAGACTCTGGCATCAATTCCGATCGTCACATTATACCACAAGGCAAGCCATGCACTGGTCCATCGCCGAGATTAGGGAACCGATTCTTGCTGTCTCCCTCCAAGATTCAGTAGATCGGTCATCCTTGCATTTTGTTTTATGGGTTGGCTTTTCTGGTTTGATCATGCCAGCAGAGCATCCAAATATCGAGAGAGCATGCAGAATTACTGGGACTGTCGATCGTCCTTGTTAAATTATCAATAAGTATAATTTGATATGCTAGCACCACGGCTGTCGATCCAGTGATGACAGAAGAGATGACCCGATCGTGCATCACTCTATCTACCATAGTTGAGCACAGGCAACAGCGATCCGTGACGAGTCCGAATAGGGAGACATAAACAGTCAACGCAGTTTGATTGGCTCCTGCATTTAGCTGTAGTGCAGTCGTGGCCGGACCATTACTTCTAGACCAAGTCAACTTTTGGGCCAAATCCATCATACCCTGCTGTACCACTAACATAGATCAATCTTTCTATTTCGGGTCTCTTGAAGTGGCTAGGGCCCGTGGACAGCAAGACCGGGATCACAAAAGAGCATAGCCCGAAAAGGGAGAAGACTGGTAGTAAGGAAAAAGCAAAGGCCCATGGAAGAACAAAAAGCAAGCGATTCTACAGGCCCAGGAAACGATATCCGCTACAGACACGGCCTGCCAAGAATGACCAATGGGAAGGCGAAAACAGGGGCTGATGTGAGATGATTGTCTCCGATGCGGCAGCCGAGCCCGACTACCTACAACTTGGTTCCAGTGAGCGCGTGCGCCTGGCCTAATTGCTGGGGCTGTTGAAAGTCGATGAATATCAGCAGATCGGAGGGGCGAAGCGCATCGGTGGTTTTGGATTCTTGATGAGGCCGTCGCTGATCCTCAAGCCCGCGGACGCTAGCTCTCTTAGTCCCTGTCAGTCTATCAGAGTCAGTGCATAGACTAACTACTCGCTCATCCTCACTCGCCTGCTCCCTCACAGGCTTTGATATTAATAATGTCATTGGGGAGATTTCAAATTACCCTTCACGTCGATAGCTCATTTGGCTTCTCCTGTCGCCCAAAATGAGGGCGTCATACTGATTTCCCGCAATCTAGAAGCATCAGCTCCCTACATCTATCTACCTTAATTTCGTTTTGATGTATTTTCATTATCTACAGATCATCTACCAACCTGTACTTATGACTGGAATCACAAAGATGTACCTTCTCTCTATGATGTAGATGGCATGCCAAAAGTACGCATTGGGCCATTGGGCAGCAACTACACCAATTGAACACATGCCCTGATCCCTATTTACTCATCGAATTATTCGTATATTATTATTTAGTAACAGGCCAATTTAATCAATCTCCTCCTTTCCCCCTCCCGCACCATTTGGACTAAACTCCGTGGATGCCTCAGATCTGCACGATGATGTCAAGTCAGCTAAAGCCTCCGTACTTCCCGTCTTGCCCAGTAGTTAGTTAGCTAGCTTACTTAGTTCCTTCTTTCCTTTCCACCACCACCACCGCAATAACGTCATAGAAAGCGACAATGGATAGTAGTAGTAGCTCCATTGAATCAGAACGTAACGGTAGATGGCTAGAGTTGTATGTATGTATAATGCATAAATGGCGTCTTTTCATCTTTGCGCTGTATGCAAAATTACTAGCAGGTCAGGTCAGGTCAGGTCAGGTTAGGTTTCAGATCCAGTGGGCGCAAATGTTGATACAGTATGTTCGTATGTTCGTATGTATGTATCTAGTACGTGGTTTATTTCATTCTTCATACTTTTGGCCTTATCTAGTACTCAATTAACTGATGAAATGTACGTTATAATGGAACCTTCTTTGTCTGTCTACTTGAATGGAGTGTATGTTGTATGGATGGGTCATTAGGGTAATGGAGTGATGGATGGGTGGTCACAATAGATTTAGTTAATTACTGGGTTAATGGATAGGGTGGATTACTACTACTACTACTACTACTACTACTACTACTACTACTACTACTACTACTACTACTACTAGGGTTACAGTAACTGAATGCATTCTCTGGACTTGGTGATTGTTGGTGGGAAAGGGATTAGTTGGTTGTTGACTACGTTTGTTTTCAATTTTTTATCAATTAGTTAGTAGTAGGTGGGTGAGGGAGTGGGTGAGTGAGCTCTCCCTTCTCGGTGAATGGATAAGTACGTAGTAGGTACCATGAACTTATTGATTGAAGAACTACTATGTATGTTAAATTGGATAGGTAGTGAGCATGTAGGCCACATGTCGATTGTACTTCTTACAAAAAGCCGAAGGTGAAAAAAGTAAAGTGGATAGATGGTAGATGATGATGAATATACTATATTTCGTTCCCGCTGCATGAGATAACCATATAGGTAAGAGAGAAAAAGGAGGGAAGAGAGAGAGAAAAAAGAAAGAAAAGTAAAAGGAGATCTTTCTTTTTTTGCGCTGAAACAAACATGCACCAAACAATGATGACTCAATCCCTCGAAGAGAATAAGAAAGTAATAAAGAAAAAGGAAACATGCCCATGTACCAGGTACCCAACGCTAGACAATCCAAATCCGGTAATCCGGCGACAATAACAATAGGGGACAGAAAAGAAAAGAAGAAGAAAAAAAGTAATGGTAATAAGTCATCATCAGGCGGTCAACCTAGGTCCTGCCACGTGCTTCGCGTGGTTCGTAACATACAGACATGCATGCATGCATGCAGTCAAGCTGGGGTGTGCGGGTGAGTGTGCGCGTCGGAAGTGTAACTATGATACTATAGATATGTGTATGAGGGAGGTTAATGGATGGATGACGCTCATGAGTAGAAAGCGCTCTTCTGGAAGCTCTCGGGCGAAATATCACCCATCTTGCCCTTCAGTTCGGGCTTCTTAGCCTCCGCGGCGATCTCCTCAGACGCGCTCGCCTGCATCGAGTTGCTGCGACTGCCGGCTTCGCTGCCCGAGGTGATCGCTTGCTGTTGCGGGCGGCGCTGGATGGTCTCCAGGTACGGCCCGGGCAAGTAACCGACGCGGCCATCACGGGCACGGCAACGCCACCACTCCGAGGCATTACCCATCGGATCGGATTTACTAAGGACAGCGACGATGTCGCCCTTCTTCACGGCCAGGTCGATGCCGGAGCTCTCCTGGGCTTCAGGGGTGTAGTCGTAGAGCACACGGCAGAAGTCAAGCTTGGAAGGGTCGAGCGGTGCACCCTGGCCCTGCACGGGCTCCCCGTTGGGACCCAGCATCAGCTGGCGACGCTCCTCTTGCGACCGAGCAAGAGCCTTGATCAGCTTGCCCATCAAGTAGGGAAGACCGAAGACGGCGATAAGGAACATGAAGAACGGCTTCTTAGAGGGCTTGGGGGGAGCGGGAGTGCCATCCGGCAGGGTGGCGGGGGAGGAGCGGCCGCTGAGGAATGCTGCAAAGGCGGACGGAGTGAGGGCGGTGGCATCAGCCGGCGGGGGACGACCGGTGATCTTCGCGATCAAGGTCTTGAACCAGCGGATGATGGTGAAGATACCGAGGGCGGAGCCAAGCGTGTTTCGGAGGTTGCCGAACTGCTCTGCTACGGAGACCATGGCTGGACAACTGTTAGTGAGAGGACAGCAACACGCATAGACAAAGGTATTAACGTACCAAAGAAGGAGCTGTGAGTCGCCATGTATGTGCTCTCCAGCATCTGAGCGAATCCTCCAAACGCACCCACGATACTCTCGATCATCTGAAACGTAGCTTGGGTGCTTTGGCTGAAGGAATTTGTCAGGCTGTTGGGATCATTGGGATCACCGGGCATCCCGCCGTACATCCCTCCCATGCCTCCCATACCACCATACATGCCGCCATAGCCTCCCATGCCACCGTAGCCTCCGTACATGGAGCCCATGGTGCCGAAGCGGGAGTACGGCGACGAGTAGCTTCCGTAGCCGCCGTAAGGACTTGCGCCGAACCGGGAGGCCGAGTAGGGAGAATAATTGGAGGCGGTGCGATTGACAACGGAGTTCAGGGTATTAGGACGAGACGGTAAATCGGGAGCAGTAGATGTCGACGATGCTGTGGCTGTGGGGGCCGAGGCGCTGGCGGCCGCGGTCGGAGTAGTCGAACTGGCCGTCATCGCGGATGAGGCGGTCGGAGTAGCCGCCGATGATGTTGTCAAAGCAGGAGACCCTTCAAGTGAGTGACATGTCAGCTACCCCGTATGCAGACAGACGCAAATATGATTTATTGTCGTATTGTGTTCCAAGAGAGCTGTGGACATACCAGCAGCAGCGCCTGCCCTCTCCCACGGTTTGGGTGGCGAAACGGACGCCATGGATATGCGGGAGGGGTTTGGTACCTCAGCAATCTCGCATGGAGATGGACCTCACAGAGGAGGCCAGTCAAAGCGAGAGCGAGAGCGAGAGGAGGTGGGAATAGCGCGAAAGAAGGATTTGGGGGGTTGGGGGGGTGAGAGTAGTCTGGGGAAGAAGAGAGGGGAAAGGGGAGAAAGAGACAGGCCGGGCGATAGATTGGATGGATTGGATGGACTGAATGTGATGAATGAATGAATGAGAGGCGATGGATGGCGATGGAGATGGAGGCGGTGGAGAAAAAGCCAGAAAAGAGGAGAAAAGGTCGCATGTGGTCCCGATGGACCGAGGCTTCCCGCTTGCCGAGTTAAGTCCCCGGTGATGATTAGTTACCACTTATCTATCTCTTAAGTAGTTAGATTAATATTCAGTAGATAGTTACTTCATATCTATCGAGTGGGATATCATATTTGCTGTCCAAATTATCTGAATGTAATATATCACCATCAAATGCTCAGGCCCATTGCTTGGAAAATGAAAATGTACAGCGGCCTAAATGCTCCCAGAACTCCCGAGATGCGATTTCCCAACAGGCATCGTCAACAACGCCGGCCCAAACAGATCGGAAAAAGATTAGTCCTCCACGACGCTAGTTATACAATACAATCCCAGTCACCGCCATCTTCCACGTCTCCCAACTTCTAGTGTCTAAAGCTCCTCATGGGTCGGGGGTGTCGGAGGGGTGGGTCGCTTGGGGAGCTGGATCCTCCAGGACCGTGGTGGCACAGGCAGACCCAGCCAGTAGTTCCATACCCGAGCGATTTCCAGGACGGCGATTTCAAAGCTGCACAGCGCCTAGTCAGTATACAGAGAGAACAGCGAACGTTATCGGGCGCCATCACTTACAATGTCTTCGGTGCATTGACCCAGCTCTTCAGCACGTAGACGAGAATGTCCCCGATCATAGAGAGCTCAGCCTTCATGTCGTCCCAGGCCGTATCCGTGTCGCGGCGTACTCGGACCTTCTCCCACGGAAGCTTCTCGGTGATGTATACAAAGTTGTCATCATCGCCATCCTCGTAGTAGAAGGTCGAGCCACCGTCTTTGAGAAGTCGTCGGGTCTTCTTCTTGCCACTGCGATCCTTGGACGCAATGCTTGCGGGAATGGTGAAGACCTCCCCATCGCCCACATCCATGGCCCGGTGGAAACTCCGGACGGCCGCAATGCTGTGAGAAATGCGACCAAGGGTGTTGATCAGTGCCACCAGCTCAGTCCGGCGCAGCAACGGGTTCTCGCCATTCTTGGTCTCGTCGTACTCGAACAGCACCTTCAGAGCGGTGCCATACCCATTCACTTGAAGCTTGCCCCAGAGGCGGCATTTATCGCATCCGACACAGTCCATCAGGCGACTGACGTTGCGGAATCGGTTGCGGAAGTCTTCCTTCAAGCCAGCAGCGCTGGGGTCCTGGAACATGAGGTTCTCGTCGAAAATTTGAGGGCGATCAGCCAAGGTCGAGGTCAACTTGGAGACCTTCTCCCTAGTCATAGCATCCTGGATTGGATCACTGACGCAGTAGTTGTAGTTGTGTAGGTGTTTCTGCAACTTCGCCACGGCCCGCGAAACCAGCGCGTAGTTGAAGTACAGGTTCGAGATGCGCTCCGGGTGGTCGTGGAGGCGATCTTTGAAACATTGAAGGTTGGGATGCCATTGCCCCGTCGTCTGATTGAGGTAATCCCAGCAAAGATGGGTCGAGATAGACGCATGCATTCCACTGATAAGACGATGGAACACGCGCTTCTCGAGACACTCATTGTCCAAGGGAAGCAGGTCGGGGCGCTTCAGCTCCTGTTGGAGCACATGACGGAAATCATTGACCGCTTGAAGACCACCCAGCTGAGGGGTCACAGGTGACAGCTCTGGCACCGGTTTGAGGAAGCAATTCTCCCGATAGATTGCGTCCCAAACCTGGTGAGCGCCCATACCGGCGTACCCCGTGAACCGCTCTGGATTATCAACGAGACTGACATAGTCTCCCTTGCCGCTAGCACCCTCATCTTCGGGAACACAGTAGTCCCGTTCGTCACATTCATCATCATACTCCACCACACAACTCTCTTTAACATTTTCACCTAGCATTCCCTGGAGCGGTCGATTAAGAGGTCGCTCCTTTCGCTGATTGCGGCCCGGATGGCCTGCTTTGGGTCCCTCGAGTTTACTAAGCTCCTCCGCGCGCCATGTTAACGGGATGTCGTCCTCGGACTCGATTGTGTTGACGGAGCATGCGATGTTCCCGCACATGCTATTCGCATCGTTCCAGAACGGACAGACTTTGTTGAAGAGGTTCAGACGGTAGTACGAGAAGAAATCGGTATCTTGCGTGATGGATTGGAGGAGGGTGTAGACTTGATCGTTCAGATGATCGATGGTGGCGTAGGAGACACAAGCGTCGGACACCATGGCAGTGGGGTCAATCTGGTAGAGATGAGAATGGATCAGCCAAGTCTGGTCTTGAATATGCAGCCAAAGCGCATGCCCGAGCGTTGTATCGACTTACCGCACACTTGTCCTGGTTATGGTGCAGCCCAGTCTCGGCATTGGAAAGCCTCGACAGGGCAAATACTGCCAAATAAAAAAATTTGGCTGCGGAGCGCATCTTGGGATGGCCGGAGACCGGCGGAAACGAGTGGACAAGAACGTAGGAAAGGATCGGAGTGTATGACAGAAGTACAGAGTGTATAGAGTGAAGCTATGCAATGAAGGTTATGGTAGGTAAGCCAAGAAGCAGGGTCCTTCACATGAAGATCAGCGACGGAAGGGAGGCCTGGATTGTCAACGGTCAATCGCGATCAGGCCAATGGACATTTCTCTGCACAGGAGGCAATGCAGTTCCAACTGCAGCAAAAGGAAGCAAAAACGAGTGATGGGAATAAAGAAGCAGGTGGAACGAGGGGACTTGAGTATTCAAGGAATGTCCGTTGCGAAGTGGACAAGTTGTCCTTGGTGGCGCGGAGTTGCATGATCCGCAAGTAGTCATCAATAGTCATCAAATCAATTCCATCTCCGCCGGCTTATCGCCGCCAAAAAAAACCCTTGTTTCAGACAGCTCCCCACTGCGATGATCCACGGTAGTCTAGATATATCTGCCTATACCTTATAGAAAGTGTTTACAAATCGACTTTCTATCTTTGTTCTCTATGTTGTTATTTTGGGGGATTGGCTCGGTAATTCACAAAGTTTCAATATAGTGGTTTATTCAGCGATCGCAACTCGCAACGTTAATGTCCTGGCATCAGCTGACGGGTTGGGATAACGAGATCAAGATCATACTGTCGCATGGCCGTGTTGGTAAGATTAAGGGGCGTCAGGAGCGACTTGGAGTGCTATAACGGTCACGGTACATGATGATGCCACGCTGCTCAAGCTGTTAGTAACTTCCAGTATGAAATCACTTATCGGTTTAGTTACTTTTCCTTATTTCGCTGAGTAAATATACAGACTGATAAGGGATCAATTACTCGTAGGTCGAGTAATTATGCCATGCGCTTTGACGTGAAGTCATACAGGTTCCGCAGGCTCTAGGACATGTCAGATGCATGTCTCGCAGGTTACTTGTTACAGATAGGAGTATGAGTAGTATATTTAGTAGTGTGCGATACAACACACTGGATGAATTTGTTACGCTAACGCGGCTCCGTATGGGGGACAAATGACTACGCTGTATGCACTCTACAGTGTTTATCGAGCAGTGGCAGATTGTAGATCGTCAAATTTGACTGTCAGACAGCAGAAGTAAGAACAACCATGGATATTCCCAATTCAAACCCATCAAAAGGGGCTGTAGCAACCATGAACGCCTTCCACCGTGATACTCCAGGCTTCAACTCCGAGCGTGACACATCATGTCATACCGTAATCACCGAGGTCATGACCGGTGTAGCAGGGGAATCATGGTAAAATAGAATACATATAGAAAAAAAACGCTCCAAAAATCATCAAAACCCAACACCAACTCTCGCTGCTCCATCAGGGAGACGCAGTCTTATAGACGAAACAACCGCAAATGCATGTTGTAGTGCGGCCGTATACAAAAAGTTCAAATGAACTGGTCTAAGAAGTTCCGCTGCGCTTGCGACGACGGATACTGAGCGCTTTCCGGAGCGAGGCGAATGGCTTGGGGTGGGGTGCATTGTAAAAGGGGTCCTTTTTGAAATCCTCATCGGTGAATTTCTAGAAGGATGTTAGAGCTTGTTGCAAATCAGTGCACAGCAAATCAGGAACTTACTTGACCGGGACAACGCATAAAGTTTCCATAGTCGTTCATCATGTTCGGCCCCTCCTCGTATTCGTAGGTGCGGCCCTCCATGTCTGTGTGACCTGGAGGGTAATAAGCCACTCCGTCCAGAGGACGGTGACTATCGATGCAGTCCCTAATTTTATCTTTCGGAGTCGCCTTCAAGGTCTCCGCGGTTGAATCTTTGACTGCCTCCACAGGGCTCTGCTTGGTGTGGTAGTTCCTCTCCGCATAGACAGCATCGTAGGGCCCCTCGTGATGGTACTGGCAGAGACTCGCGCTGTCCAGACGATCAATAATGTCTGGATTGACCAGCATCGAGTTCCTCGAGTATCTGGCTGGCTGAGGGTTCGACGGGCTGCCATGACGACGGCGCCGAGAACTACTCTCCTTCTTCCGTCGAGGCTCGACGGGATGATGCTCCGGAGAGCCCGAATAGTAGACGGAGGGGAAAGACGTAGAGCGCTGACGGTTCAAGGACCGCCGACTGGGAGAGGGAGAGTGGAAGCGTTGGTAGGATCCATACGAATCCATTTCAACGCCCATGTCCATCAGGTTGGAAGGATACCGATGGGAGTAAGAGGCCCGGTATGGGGTCGCACAGGCTGGGAGAACGGCGGACGCCATAGTAACTGGACGCCGGAGGAAGAAGTAAAAACACGAAGGGGGAGAGAAATGGAGAGAGAGGATGCCTCTCAAAGGTTGGAGGATGAGAGTTAGGTATATATAGGGACAACGGGATGCCCTATAAATGTATGTAGGCGTTTAATAGTATTGCCTACTAGTGACTGCCTGCGTCTGCAGCCCGTAACTCAAAAGAGTGGTGGGGCTTAGCAGCGGTGAAGTCGGGTATTGATTATAGAGTTGGGGAGTAACGTTGAAGCTGCGGTCTGTGTGGTTATGAGTGTGGCAGAGTAGGTTTGGAAGTATGAGAGTAAGTAGTATAAGTTGGTTTGCAAGGTAGTGGTGGTTAGATGGGAGTAGTAGGAAGAAGTATGAAGAGGACAAGAGAAAGAGGACAAGACGGAGAGTAAAAGAGGCGAGAAGAGCAGAGGGGAGAGTCATAATTCATCATGATTATTTAGGCTCTGGTCATCGCTGGTCATGCAAGTGCAAAGCCGAACCGGTGGACCGTGACGTGACGAGTAGCGCCGCATTGCTTTTCCATTTGCTCACTTTTGCTTCCACGCGATCCGGGGGTGGGTTTGTACTATTACGCCTTATCGATAAGGCTAGAGTCTACTACAAATGAGTACGTACGGTCAAGACTAGACCGGTTCGGTTGCATCGGATGTCCTTTTCGATGATGAAAATACCTGACCAACATCTCCTGTTGTCGAGTCTTAGTTAGTACTTTGCACTGAATGCCCTCATTCTGTAGGTGCGCGGAAGGCTCGGGCCCCAGGGCACTTCCCCTCCGCCCCTCCCGGTTCTAGACTTGAAGAACCAGTCAGGATGGCCCAGACAGATATTAGTAAATCACCATGGAACCTCTAGAAGGTCCCTGAGGGATTCTAGTGGAGTCGCAGTGGCAATTCTCACCGTCATGATTGTCGTGTCGTCGTCAGCTGTGGATGCCCAGGGCCACCATCCACCGGCTGACTAAATCATTTGCACCAACTTCCTCTGCAATTGGAGTCTTGACATCATAACCACCAGACTTCCCAACCCCAACTGACTGCGACATCCTGCAAATTCCTTCTGACAACCAAATTTACATCATTTGAAAGTAACAGGTTGAGTATCTTAACGAGAGGTGTACTGACTTGATTGTTTTAATAAGTTAACTAGTGACCTACGGAATAATACCCACTATGCTGAGTGAGCTCCAGCTCCGTCTTTAAGCTTATCTTTAGTGACCACGATAGCGCCAACGGCGGGCTGGATCTAGCCCTGCTAGTCTTGAAACAAGTTTTGGTTTGCGACTAAAAAGCACGCGCCAGTATTAACATCTGCATGCTTCTGACAGGCGCTTCTACGAGTTGCTTGTTACACACTCATCCACGCACAAAGTAATTTGATGGTCCGCATCGCATGTCAGTCTGCGACGGTCTGCATGGGCGACCCAGTGCATGGAGAATGTGTTACACAGGGTCTAGATTTGTCCTACGAACCTTCAGGGACTAGAAGTATTGCAGGCTTATAATTAGAAACGAGCCAGGTGTAATGAACGCATATTGCCAGGTACATTCGGTCTACTTTCTCTCCCTGTCAGGGGGGGCTGAGGTCCATCCATGGATAGGAGCCCCAACCCTTGCGAGGTGACATGGATAATGCGAACAAGCTTCGACGTAAACCATCCACTATGTGCCCGTACCCCTGCTGCTACGGAGTCTTCTGGGCAATAATTAATGCTAACAAACAAAGAGTCGATGAAGTATCTCGCTATTGTCCTCGCTCACCTTGTGGTCCCTTGTGCTCCGATCCCTATTGACCTCTGCTGAGACGGACGCCTCAGCGTACAGGGTAGACATTTGGAACCACCATAAAAGTAATCGAGAAAAAAAGAAAGAAAAAAGTTATCTCACAACAGATCATTCTTCAGAATCAAAACCATGATGTGTTCTGTTCATCTGCTAAAAGTCCACTCCAATCTAGAACCCCTTCCAGCTCCAACTGACGAGTCTTGGCAGCCCTACCCGTAAAAAGCAGAGTTCCAATACGGACAGCCCGGCTCCACCATGCCGACCCGATGGAACAACAATTTACTACTCCAACTGCGGCCACCAAATTCATCCTGGATGACCACTTCCAACCAATGTCCCTGACCCTGTAATGGCTTTGGTGCAATATTCTGAATCTGAATCCGAAGCAGAGAACGAGCCCCCTCAGCCCCCAGCAAAAAGGCCCCGTCAAGCCGCCAACAATCAAACTTCCTCACTCCCACCCTTACCGGCTGCTTTTCACGATCTCTATGCCTCCAGCACTCGTGTCAGCGTGACCGACGACCCCAGTCTCCACGGAGGCCGAAAAAGGGTCATTCCCCATGTTGAAGGGAACTGGCCGACCCACATCTACTTGGAGTGTATGTGTCATCCATCATCACCACCACCACCACCAGCATCCTCTGGCAGTAATTAGGTTCTCGAGAACGGAAATAACACCCGTATGACCAATCTACAGGGTATCCATCCAAAGATGAGCTTTCTATTCTTAGCGATGTCATAGCGCAGATCAAGGATAGGCTCGATGGAAGCACGATTCAGCTCCACAGCCTACTACATAGTGATCTTGGCGCGCAACTGCCCCTCCACATTAGTTTGTCTAGACCGGTCGTGCTACGGACAGAACAGCGACAGTCATTCTTGGACATGTTTCAGTCTCAGCTGAAAGAGTCGCAAATTCCAACGTAAGTAGCTGACTTGCTTATTCTCTTGGGACTACTATATTTGTGATCGATCAATTCATCGTGCTGACAAGCTGTGCAAGGTTCAACGTCTCGACAAATAGCCTCGACTGTGTCTCAAATTACGAGAAGACGCGGTGGTTCTATGTCTTACGTGCGGCAAAGCCAGAGGAAGATAATCTGAATCGTCTTCTTCGGCTGTCTGATCGTGCCCTGGCGCGGTTTGAACAGCCTCCGCTATACGAGTCGTCGCAGGATGTGGCGGCTGAGCGGAAGTCAAATGGTGGTGGTACGACACTGCCACGGGTGTCGACTGAGTCTGGCCAGTCTGGGGCTGATTACTCTCACTGCTTCCATATTTCGTTGGCATGGAGTTTGACGGGTCTGTCGTCTGCAGAGAGGGAGCTGATCGGAGGTGTGGATTTGCGTAAAGTACGTGAGTTGGCTGTGCGGTTTGATTGTGTCAAGGTGAAGATTGGGAATCATGTTTCTAGTATACCGCTGCAGTAGATGATGAAATTAAATAGACACAGAAGTGTACATAGAAGCGTTTGCTGGGAATACTGTGGTTGGTTGGTGGGTGAACATTATCGCTGACTCTTCCAGCAATACTTGTCTTCTAGTATATCATAGACCTGACCGGTTATTGGTTATATTCGGTTCCAGGTTCATAGTCTGTATATTGATTAGAAATTGGGCACGAAATATCATCACCGGCCTATTACTCCGCGCAGTGTAACTCGGATATACATCGGCTATTTCACACTACCAGATTTCCCCTGATAGATCCAATAAACACCAGAGTGCATAACTTTGTCACAGACTATTACCAATCACTGCATCCCATGAGCAATCTTGTAACCTATGCCGTCGTGGTGGATTGTTGTTTCAACTCTCCACACCGAACACATAAACTTTACCTATATTCACAACAGCATAGCATATTGTCACCACCAAGGAATACCCGAATTGAGCACCTCAAGCTACTAAAATCTACACGGGTATCGACTATACACCATACAGTAAGCAGCTAGTAGTCCCGTCTTCAATTGATGGTCTGTCTGTTAACCAAGCTACTACTACTACCAGTACTACTTCTACTAGTTGTAAGAGACAATATATATTTCACCAACGGCAATACCCAAATGAAATCCACCCTCTCCAATTGCTCAATACAATCACCAGACCTTTCAACCATCAAACATAGTAACTAAGAAACAAAGCATTCACTGAACCAACAATAGTCTCAGATACTATTAGTCTATGTCCCCTGTAAATTTCATACTGTGTAGATAGAAACAAACACACACACCAGCATAACCACCCGTAACATTCACCCGTCCCATACAATACAATACATCCCGCCCAGGCACGTCACAAACCGCTAACCCGCCCACCACGAAACACACGCGTAGTCTAGCTTAGCTTACCTAGCTAGCTATCTTCTTCATCCTCAATTTCATCCTCGAACCTCTCCCCCCTCCCCTTAACCAACAAAAACCATCCCATAACCTCCAAAATGTCCCTACTCACCCCACCACCCATTACCATCGTACGCTATCCTCCCCAGAAGAACCAAATGTGCAAATACCTAACCCCCACAGGAAGACCTCCACGCTTTCCAAGCAAAACACTTCCCGGGGAGCGTCATCGCCCAGACACCACAGCCACAGCCACAACAAGTGACGAATACCAACCAGCCCGAAGAACAATACACCTTGGAAGAAGAAGAGTATGAATACTACTACGAAGAAGAAGACCTAGGCTACTACCCCGACGGCGTGAAACGCACCCTCACGGACGAGCAAATCCGCATATTCAGACATAGTGAGATCCATGCGTTGAGGAGGGAGAAGGAGTTGCGTGAGGAGGAGGAGGAGGCGGATGCTGCTGCTGCTGCTGCTGCTGCTGCTGCTGCTGCTGCGGAGCGTGCCGTAGTTGCAGATGCGAATGCAAAACCAGATGCGGCTGGTACAGAACAAGCGAGCAAGTCTCGGGTAGAAGGGGAAGAAGATGCGGATGTGAAGATGGATTATGGGGATGGGGATGGGGGTGCTTCTGCTTCTGCTTCGAATACGACTTCGAAGGCGGCTTCTAGGCCTGTGCCGCAGTTTACGGGCAGGAGGATCATTTCGTATGATGATTGAGGTTGATCAGATTGGTTTTCATGCGATTGCCTCATATTTACCTGCCTGCCTAGCTATATGTTAGCGTTCTGGTTTCTGCGCCCTGCTGGAGACACCGTCGACACTTCTGTCTATCCGACATTCTAGGGTGCTCCAGTCACACGCATCAGCTGGTCTTTCTGACATGGTAAGTCTACTTTTCACTGTTTGTTTGCTTTCTTGCTATTCTGCTTCCCACATGATGAAAACATCGTATCAGTCATCCTTAGTCGGAGCGCCATACCATCTGCGGATGTGTAAGGCTATGTCGACTAAAATCTTCTCTCTGAGCTTACTTGTATTGCTGCTTGTTGGACTTGAATTATATTCTAAGTTCTGTTGCTAATTCTCTTATTGACTAGTGCTGTCTGTGATGAAGCAAGAACCAATAATGACACATCATTATATGCATTGACGGTCCAATCACCCTGTAAATGGGTGTGCGACTCGCCACCTATGTTGCGGTCCAGACGCGCGCCTAGAGAGGGTGCTTGGAAGATCAGCTTCGAAGTGAAAATGCTTCTCAAATCCATTGAGAACATAATACTCGTGATACTCATGGAAGCAGCATATCTTCATCAAACCACATCGGTCCTAGGATCGAAATGTTATTTATCAGCATAGCAAAACTACCAATGCGTAGGCTATAGCGCCGCATCTCAAATGTAGCGCCACTATGGCCTTTCTACATCTACTCAAAGCGTGATTGGTCTCTGTCTAGGGACCAAGCACCAGAAAAAGGCAATCCCAATGAGCAGCCCTAGCATGATGGGCTGCAAAACCTGGACGCCGGCCTGGGAGGCCACCGCTCCCGTCAGGAAAGGGAAAGCAGCGGATCCGGCCTGTCCAAGACTGGCAGTGAATCCTGGTGATGGTCAGCATGAGCAAATCCACACCTGAATTCCAGCTACTTACCCATTGCTCCCACGTGAAGCTCCTTTGGGATGACCGTGGTGAGGACGTAAAGTCCAACTGGGTAGAAAGGACCGATAAAGAAACCTGGTGCCTAGTATTAGCAGCGTTTTTGACAGCGGCGTACTTTGTCTCGCGTTTGCGCTGGAAATGGAGCATACTCACCCAGGAAACACACTGTGACTGCATTGATAGTGATGTCTGGGACTAGCCAGAACAAAAGCTGCATCGCCACAGCCAACGCGGTATAAGCGAACACCATGCGCCGTTCACCCAAGCGATGCGTGATATCCGCTAAAACAACACGGCCCAAGGTAAAGCCGGTCCAGAAGCCGGACGCAATATATCCTACTTTGGTAGGGTCGCCATTTCTCACCGAAACAAGGAACTGCACAAGCCAACCTGAAACACGTCAGCAAGGAGCTGCCTCCAGTCATGGAAGAACGTACCTCCAGCAGTCACCTCCGCGCCAACGTACAAAAAGAAGAAGCCGTTGAATATCCACACAGTCTTGTTTGACACTGTTTCTCGAAGCTCCTTGCCGGCCGTCTCCTTCGCATTGCTCACATTCGGACGGAAGAGCCCCTTTCTGAAGGTCCAGACCAGAGATGTGATGTTTAGTACGCCGAGCAACATGGTCACAAGGTAGTAGTGGTGCCAGACTGGCATTCTCGAGGCAATCGTATTGGCGATCAATGGAGCGAGGATGGTTCCGACGCCATACACGGCATGCAAAATGCCCAGCCACCGATGGGCGTCCTTGACAGTTATAGTGAACATGTTCATCTGGGCATCTTGGAAAGCTACGCCGCAACCAGTGAAGAAGAATGCTGCCACGAAGAGGGGGAAAGGCGGACTCCAGAACATCAAGGCATAGCCGAGACACTGAATGGTTGCTCCCAGGACCAGTGTACCGCCCGTTCCTATATGAGAACAGACATGAATATTGGCGAATGAGGCGACAACCCAACCCACAAAGTTGACTAGGTAGATGATGGACACCTGCAGAAGACCAACCTCATAAGTTGGTTGTATGTACGGGATCAGAGGGCCCAATGCAGCATCTTCATGGTCGACCCATCCGACTGTCAGCTTCGGTTTGCTATCGCAAGCGAGTTACAGGGGGCGGGGCAATGTACCGTTCAGCCCGGCCATCAATGCGGCAAAGTTGGTACTGAGAATCTTGCTTTTGACATCTCCGACCTCCTTGGGAAGGAGGAACGTAGACTCATCAGCCGGAGCGATTTCATCCTGAGCGTAGTTGCCATGTCCAGCTTCTCTGTGGTCGCCCATATTGTTGATTGACTGGATTGACAAGTCGCATTGAGAAGGACAGCCGCGCACTGGAGTAGCCAGTTACTTATATACGAGAGAAAGAAACCGTAATCTGAAACTGTAATCCTTGGCAGCAGCAACTAGCTCCACTGTCGCTTAGCTCTATAGCAGGTAATCGCGGCTACCTAAGAATCCGACCCCAGCTGATGAGATGCTTGATGGTGGGGTAAACCCGAAGTTCCCCCGAGGTGTGGCAGCTTGCCTCTCTATCTGTCGGTGAGGAACACATCCATGTGGATCTTGGGGTCTAGCCCACCACTCCAGATTGTGCTTGGGGACTCGCATCGTGCAGACCAGAGTCAAAACTGCAATGAGACTGGCGAGAGCCGAGTCAGGTGGCCGAGCGGGCAATTGGCGTCTTATTTTGCCGTTTTGGGAAGGTCTGCCAGCTGCTTACTCATGGTTTCCATACTGCTGGACGATTAGCGCCTGGAAGGACCTTCCTGGTGTTAGGTTGGTTATCGGGGACTCGGGCCGAGGGAGCGTAGAAACAGTTGATGCTGGGATGTTGGTGTCTAGTAACTGCTATCAGTTAGCTATCGAGCTCTCAGGGTGATAAGGTATAGCCCAAACATAGTGGTGAATCTGGCTTAACACTACTGTTAGTCCATATTCATAACATATTATCAACGGAAAGTCACCTTCATCGCTTTGTCGAAGGAAATGAGTGAGGTGGGATAAGTCCTTCCAAACCCAGGTCAGAACACTGTATGGCAACGAAGTTCAGAACTTGTCTTGCCGCCATAATGGGGTCGAGAACGTTGTTGTTTTCATTATTCGGTCTTAAGTGCCAGATAAATGCCGTAGATGCAGTCGGAATAGTACGTTGTCAAACCAGGTTGTTCCAAGATCATGACAGTCTCTTGTCCCTGCTGAGAAGTATTGGACAATATCGTGAAGGGATTTGTGTTCAGGATCGGATGTTTCGTGAGGGCATATACCGTTGTAATCATTTTTTAAGCCGGCTTCAATGGAGGGGAGGGTGCATTTGACGGTTGAATCTGTTATTATAGTTTATTCGAAGGCTAGCCCTGTTCCATGGGGTCTTATCTGAACCTTCTAAGAGCTGCATGGCACCCTAAGCATGAAGATGATGAAGAGAAAGGGATGAGGTTGTCACAAAGAGGTATAGGGGAGATGATAGGTCCCAGAGACTAGTTGAATAGTCAGAAAACATATTGCTGAAACGGGAAGTCACCCTTCAACGGGCCTAGCCTATGCAATATCATTCTTCATCAATCGAAACAAGTACTAGTACTTAATAGGGTTCTGGTACAGTAGCACACCCATAAATATCAACGTCTTCAGGTCGGTCGTCTATCTCATTCTCAATAGGTACATTACAATAAGGGAGTATGCTGTTTGATTCCTTTGCTACTAACTACCATCCACCTTACCCTTTTTGCAATAACACACATACATGAGCCACTCTACAGCAGCCTTTCAATAATAGTAGTAAGTAGTGTATACAAACCCCGCAATGTCAAGACATCTTGTCCGCAGCTAGCCGGGTTTCTAACAGAGCTACCCCGGATATTTTTTGGCGAATACGGGGTAACGCTTAGAGGCGGGGATGGTACTTATGCCGTGTGGTCCCTGCATCCACGAACTTTTCCAGATCAGGGGATGGTCGACGCCCATTGGACACAAGGAAGCCATTTCTGGTTAATTCCTGGACTACTAATAAATCAATTCTACCCCAGCCATGAGGGATAATACTTGTGGGGTGAGTGATATTCCCCGCAAAGCAGGAATTGTACATGTAAGAGAAACTGAGGATATGAGTTTCCATGACCAATTGATTAAGAAAGCGTGATTCCATTCCGCCTTTATCCGGATTCTCTGAGCACATTACTGATGACGAGCGGTATGCATTGGCGACCTGAGATGGATTCGGGGGTGTAGAAATGCCTCGTCTTGTTGAGAGCCATTTATGTCATGTTGAGAACGTTCTTGAGCTCCTTTGAAGCTTAAGTAGCCAACATTAACTAAATAAATCATAGCAAGGTATCCCAATTCAGAAACAATGGCGAGTATGAACAAGTAAATAAGTAGTAAGTAGTAAAGTGGATGAGCAGCCCGTCGCATCCGTCCGATAAGCCAGTGTAACGTTGGATCTTCAAAGAGGGTGACGGGCCAACCAGAAGTCAGCCTGGGACCGGCAGGGTTACACAGGCAGCCCTCAAACAGGAAGTGGAAAGGCTGGGCATTCCTGGAATCGACTGAGAGGAATCCCTTTCCAATGCCAAATTACACTGCCATGTATCACTCTTATCACGAGCAATGCCACAATCATGCTTAATCAAGGCAGTGCCTGATGTTCTCCTGCCGGTGTTGCCCGGCATTGTGACGCTTGAACTTGCAGCTCGGTTCTGGATGACCTCAAGGAAGGGATAGATTGATACCCGCGGAAGTTTAACTGTCAAATCACGGTGGATCGGATTCCTGCAGAATCGGGAAAGCCGTGGTTCACGGCAAGTGCAAGTCTGGGTTACGTCTTCGAGTGTCTCCACTGCATGCATGCGACATCCTCAACACTTCCCCCCCTCCGACGGGGCTGGCTGTTCGGAAGATCGTGCGGCTCCATGGCAATAACGCAATTTCTCTGCAATGTGCCTTTAACTCGGCTCCTCCAGGCAATCACTTTGTTTCCTCTCTCTTCCTCTTCCCGCAGCTCCTCTCCTTCCTAATAGTTATAACGAGCAGGCTGAGGTCAACAGGGAGCCTGTCTCTTTCTCCATTGCACGGGCTCAAGTGCTACAACTCGAGCACTTCGTTCTGTACTCTGCTGGAGCAGTAACGCCGTCATCATGAGATCTTCAGAGATCTATCCGGCACCCCCCACGGTGGCCGACCAGGAGCTGTGGGAAGAGAAGGAAGTGTCGACTGAACAGAGCTCTCTCGAAGTCGGAGAGAACAAAGACCTCGCTCTTCAGCAGACACAAGATGCCTTTGGAAATGAAGAGTTTGCGGAGGTCAAGTACAAGGTCCTCAAGTGGTGGTATGCAAGCCATTGTACTACATATCTCAACATTGTTCCTGACGTCTATCTAGGCAATGCGGCCTGCTCATGGTGGCTGAAACAGTCTCCCTGGGGGTGCTGTCCTTGCCTGCTGCCGTTGCCGGCTTGGGTTTAGTCCCGTAGGTGCATGCGACCTCCTGTGAAGTATCTGTCACTGACATCACCACCTCCAGCTCGGTGATTATTCTCGTCTGCCTGGGTGGCCTGGCCACCTACACGGGCTATGTGATCGGCCAATTCAAGTGGAGGTATCCGCACGTTTGCAACATGGCTGATGCGGGTGAGGTGCTTGCTGGCCGCTTTGGCCGTGAGCTGTTGGGATTTGCCCAGATCATCTTCCTCATCTTCATCATGGCCAGCCACCTGCTAACCTTCACGATTGCCATGAATGCCTTGACTGACCATGGCACGTGCTCCATCGTCTTTGGAGTGGTGGGCCTGGTTGTCTCTTTCGCGTGCTCGTTGCCGCGCACTCTGGAAAAGATGTCCTGGCTCTCGTTAATTTGTAAGCAACCCAAACTTGTAGTTATCGTGCAGAGCGACGCTGACTATAGCCAGCTTTCATTAGCATCTTGTCATCTGTGTTCATCACAATGATCGGGGTGGGTATCTCACACCCTGGGAAGGTAATTGAAGCAACAGTCAGAACCGACCTAATCCACGGCTTCACGGCGGTGGCCAATATCGTCTTTGCATTTTGTTAGTATCCGCTGCCTAAGTCGCTTTGATTGTCAAGCTAATCCTGTTATAGCTGGACATGCTGCATTCTTTAGCCTTGCAGCGGAATTGAAAAATCCAGCCGACTATCCCAAAGCCTTGATGCTGTTGCAGAGCGTCGATATGACCCTCTATCTCGTTGCAGCCGTCGTGATCTACTGCTATGGGGGATCCACAGTTACTTCTCCCGCACTGGGATCCGCCAGCACGGTTGTGTCCAAAGTTGCTTATGGCATTGCGCTTCCGACAGTATGTTGCAACTCCGTATAACAGTGCGGGTTTCTGACAACCATACAGATCATCATCGCCGGCGTTATCAACGGACATGTCTCTGCCAAGTCCGTCTATGTGCGTATCTTCCGTGGCACTGACCACATGCATAAGCGCACCTGGACTGCCGTGGGCTCTTGGACCGCAATTGTCCTAACACTGTGGGTGCTCGCCTGGATCATTGCGGAAGCGATTCCAGTGTTCAATAAATTGCTGAGCTTGGTTGTATGTCCTACACCCTGGTCCCAGTTGCACTTGTACAGGTCAAGGACAGTCTAACAATATGCAGACTGCGCTCTTCGCCAGTTGGTTTACTTTCGGCCTGAGCGCGATCTTCTGGTTCTACATGAACTCTGGCCGATGGTTCTCGTCTCCGAAGAAATTCGCCCTTTCTGCTGTCAACTTGCTTGCTCTGGCAGTTGGATGTTGTCTGGTATGTATATCCTCCTCCACTGATCCAGACCAGTCTACTCACATATACAGTGCGGTCTTGGGCTCTATGTCTCCGGAAAGGCCATCCACGATGATCCCCACCATGCCAGTTTCACCTGCATGAGTACTGTCTAATGTGTGATGAGGTTATGTCAATTGTCTGTTTGCTCGCGATAGATTGGGAATCTGGCGTTTGAAGGTCGACCTTGGTTACGATCGTTATGATGTCCTGGTATGAACAAGATGGAGTCTTGTATATAAACTTGTAAATACATTATGCGCATGATCGATATCGAGAAAAGCATGACAAGAATGAGACTAACGCCAACCGACTCCAGTGTCTTGACCATGAACGTAACTCCAGTCCCGCCATGCGTCAAAGCAAAGTATTAAATGCCGCAGATATAACACAGCAGACCATGTATCCGACTTGAAAGAGGACAAAGCCTCAGGAAGGTAACCCTTAGAAACAGGAAGAGATGTAGCGATAAGAATAATAAATAAAATGGTATATGTAAACCGTCCACCGACAGAACTAAGAAACCCTAATAGATAAAGTAAAGTAAAGGTATAGAGAAGTAGAAGATAAAAGATAATAGAAATGAAAAGAGAATCGAAAGAATGAAACAACCCACCACTCAACGCCATCCATTGTGTACCATACCGAACCAAGCCAAACCAAATCATACCCACTCACTCCAATAAAGTCCCTCTTCATAGGTAGAAAGAAGGGAAACAGAACACCAGTAATCTAATGCATTCATGCAATCTACCCCGTCTCCCCGCGTCCACTTGCTCTCTTCATCCTTCGCCTCTTCCGTCGACACGAATCGATCGCCTCGGGCGTGAGAATTTCCGCAGGAAGCTCGAACTCGCGATCTTCAATCTCGGGAATAGGTTGTCCGAAGGCTAAGCGGGTTCGACCTTTCCGGGCTGGACCAGCGAGGGCTAGTTCGCGGAGATGGGGTTTCGAGTAGAAGGAGGTGAAGGGTTTGGTGGGTTCGGGGGGTAATATTTCTGCTAGTGGCGGTGGTGGTGGAGGAGGAGGGGCTATGTTGGAGGCGGTGGCTTTGTGTTTAGTGGAGGATGAGGGTTTGGTTAGTTTCTTGCCCGTTGAGTTACTTGGGGTGGTAGGGTTTGTGGTGTTTGCTGTGGTTGTTGTTTTAGTGGCGGATCTTGCTTCCTGATGTAGTTGTCTTGCTGCCCAGGCGTCGACGTCGTTGGGGTCTGGGGGATCTCCGCCGCAGCTTTGGGCGTCGGATAACGGGGTGGTGCCGTCTTCTGCGTCGCCGTTGGTGGATGTGGCTGTTGTCTCTGGGGAGTGATCCTTTTTGCTATTGCTAGCGGTGGTGGGTGGGACGGGCTCTTCCTCAGCTGGCTTGTCCTTTTCTGACTTGCGGCGCTTTTCTTCCTCCCTCCAGATTTTGAACTTCTGCAGGACGGCGGAGATCTCCCGGATGAAGTAGGTGCGTTTGGACTCGAAGTGTTTGCGCTCCGGGTCGCTGATCAGTCCGGTGATTCCCATGACGCGCAGCCAGTCGTGGCCTTGGAGGTCATCTAGGAGACGGTCTAAGTTTTGCTTTTCGTGCTGGGCGCGGTCGCGCTCGATGTTGCGCAGTTGCTTTTCTTGTCGCTCATTGCGCCGGTGCGGGCGGAAGTAGGTTTCTTCGCTAAGAGGGTCGGGAGAGGTTGTAGTGGAATCTTCGGTGGTGGGAGGTATGGGAGGGGAGGTAGAAGGATCGGGCAGGGTGATTGTTTCGCAGTTGTGGAGGTTCACGAGAGGGTTTCCAAAGGGTGTATCGGTATCAGAAATGGGGTCGGAGGACGGTATGAGCGGTTCGGAGAGGTCGTCGAGGAGTTTGATGGTGGTATTACCCGCAAGGAACTCTATGCAGGCCAATTTGTCAGCCAGAACATTTTATAATCAAGTATATTATTCTGCAGCCTTACCGGTCTTTGGCGGCTCCATACTGAGGAGCTCCTCATAGTTGGGAAAGTAGAGCGCCAGCTCGCTGCGCGCGCGGGAGCCACCATCGTGAGAGCGGAGGGAGCGCCGTTGCTCGCGCCCGGTAGAGGGCTGCTCGGTCGGAACTGTCGGCTGCTGTGGGGTCGCATCCGGGGCAGGCTGAGAGGGTTTAGATGCGATCGAGGCCGATATGGGCTGCTGTATAGGCGTTGCAGCTGCCTCAGGCTCGGGGTCAGCGGCGGCAGTTGAGCGGCGCGGGCGACGGGCGGAAGAGGAGGCGGCGGTGGTGACGGCGGAGGGTGTCCCCGCCGGGGCGACCCTCCGCGAGACCGACGAGTTGGCCGTCGCGGAGGGGGAGATGGTATCTAATGGGTCTGGCGATTCGCGACCGACAGGAAGGAAATATGATGTGATCGTGGGGGTGGAATCATTGCGGAGTATGCGACGGGGATTCGGTCGCGGAGTGGCCGGTGACGACGAGGTGGGATTATTGCTGGCCAGCGGGCGGCGCGTCGAGGTCCGCCGGCGCAGGGGATGATGAGACGAGAGTTTGTAGGGTGTGGCAGCCGAGGAGGATGAGTTCTCCGTCGTGGTGGTGTCCAGCAGATCGGGGGAGCTCTTGCGACGACGCGATGACGATTGAGTCTGGAGACGAGCTCGCTTTGCAGGTGGCTCGGAGTCCGGCTGGTCGGGGGAATGGCCGTGGTGAGGATCTCGTCGCAGGGAGACACGGACAGGCATCAGGGTGGTGGAGGTCATTCGGGAGGATTGAGGGGGGAGAGAGGAATTGAGACGTGGGGGGAAAAGAGGTCAGGAGGGATGCGTGCACGGCATGTCAGGGCCAGTCGGGGGCGATTCGGAGGATTGAAGTTAGTAGGATGAAGCAACTCGAGAATCGCAGCTGCAGGTCTGGATGATGTTCCGGATTGGGGAGGAGGTGAAAGTTGTATCTTTACGGATACCGCAGGAGGTATGTCTCAGTACCTGACAGGACATGTGTTACCGTTATGGCGTACGATACCTGTCACAACGATACCTCACTTGACTAGCATACATATAGATACATACATATTTACTTAATACATATTTACTTCTTCCTCTCCTTTCTCTTCTGCATCAACTTCTCCCGTGAAGCACATCAATCCCATATCCATCCCGTTCACTCCCTTTTTCCGGGCTCACTTTTCATTTCTCCGAGGAACCAATTCTCCGGCGCCTACCCCATTCCTCTACCATAATGTCTCCCTGCACGACGTGGGGGTGGGAGCTACCCTGACTTGCCATAGGAGGGGATCTGCTGGAGAAGAGTGTGGGGTGCGTGGGGGTTTTTGGCTGGATTGTTTTCTGCTCGACGCTGTCTGGATGGAGTCAACCGGCTCAATGTCCGACTCTCTCCAAACTTGACTGGAACTGTTTCCCCTCTTAGCCACCCACTGGCTATTTTTCACTTTCTTATAACATGGGAACGGCATCCTCATTGCTTTCCATCTATCCTCCTCCTTCTCCTCCTTCCTCTTCCCCCGCATTCTCCCCATCCACCACCACCACTCTCTATACTTCCACACCTACCCCAGATTGATCACCGACCCAATCACCACCTCCACAATGGCCATTACCCCCCGCCCCCTCAAACCCGGCATCTACGTCCCAACCGTCGCCTTCTTCACCTCTCCCAACGAAGACCTCGACCTCACCACCACCGCCCAGCACGCCACCTACCTCGCCCAATCCGGCGTGACCGGTCTCGTCGTGCAAGGCAGCAACGGCGAAGCCGTCCACCTCAGCCGTGAAGAACGCAACCTGATCACCTCCACCACCCGACAGGCACTCGACACCCACGCGCCCTCCGCCCCGCTCATTGTCGGCTGCGGCGCCGCCTCCACCCGCGAGACCATCCAATTGTGCCAAGACGCCGCCGCCTCCGGAGGCGACTATACCCTGATCCTCCCTCCCTCGTACTACAAATCCCTCCTCTCTCCCAAAGACCTCCTCGACCACTTCCGTCTCGTCGCCTCCGCCTCCCCCATCCCCATCCTGGTATACAACTTCCCCGGCGCCTCCTCGGGCCTGGACCTCTCCTCAGATGACATCCTCGCCTTGGCGGAACACCCCAATATCGTCGGCGTGAAGCTGACCTGTGGAAACACGGGTAAATTGGCGCGTATTGCTGCTGCCGCTGAACCGGGCTTCTTGACCTTTGGTGGCTCCGCGGATTTCACGCTCCAGACGCTGGTGGCAGGCGGTCATGGTGTGATTGGTGGCGTGGCCAATCTAATTCCGAGGTTGAGTGTGCGTGTGATGGAGCTGTATCAGGCTGGTCAGGTCGAGGAGGCCCAGCGGTTGCAGGCTATTGTGGCACGTGCGGACTGGCAGGCGATTAAGGGTGGGTTTGTGGCCGTCAAGAGTGCCTTGCAGACGTACCGTGGATATGGAGCCTTGCCGAGACGGCCCTGTGTGGTGCCGTCGGAGGAGCAGGCGACGGCGTGGAAGGATTCGTTTGCGGAGGCTATGGAGTTGGAGAGGCAGTTGGAGAAGCAGGCTTAGCTTTCACTCTGTATCTACCTACCTATCTACCTACCCTACCCTACTATACCAGGTTGAAATACATGCAAACGCAATCAATATCCATCCCAAGATACTCACTCCCACTTCTGCTACATACCATCATCACCATCTTCATCTATACAACCGGCAACACCAAATAAGAATCAAACCCTTCCCCACAATGAACCTCATGCACCTGCTCCTCCACCTCCCCTCCCGATCCCCCCTCCCCTTCCACCGGATGATCAAACTCCACCTCCGGATAACACAGATCACGCCCGGCGACCCTCAACATAATCCCCTCCCCAGCCCCAAACACCATCCCTATCGGCCACAACGTGATGTCAATCGGCACGATCTTCCCGGCGGGGATCATCTCTGCACGGTCATGTCTATACACGATCTCGTGCTCCGTCGAGAGAGTCTCGTCGCGCGTGACGGCGTGCGACGCACGCAGGAACCCCTGCGGCCCGAGCGTCTTGGCTGTGTTGACGTTGGGGACGGCGTCGACGGGCACGGGACACGGGTAGTTGAGGTGTTCGAGGAGTTTGCCGGTCGTGGAGATCTTGCGGATTTGCACGATGATGTCCATGTCTGTGTGGTGGGGGGTGGAGAGCCATAGGTGGACGCGGGGGTACCCGGCTAACTGGGTGGGGGTGGGGAAGTGGAGGGTGAAGTCCTGTTGTTTTGTTAGGAGGGTATGGGTAGGGGAGTGAGTGGGATGGAACGTACGGAAGTGCTATGGCGGGCGGAATGAGTTGTTGAGGTGACTGTGTCTGGGAGAGAGGGTTGGAGGGTCTTGGTTGATGCGTTGAGGTAGAATTTCTTGAGCTCCTGGCGGGTTAATGGGTAGGTTTGCTCGGGGCGTTCGAGGATGGTGGGTACGGAACTGCCTTCGAAGCCTAGGAGGGAGAGGCGCACGGGTGGTGTGCTTTCCCAGTCGTTGGGCGTGTTCTTGAGGTAGCGGCCGAAGAAACGAGAGAGGTCGTCGACCATCTCCGGTCGGTATAGATCGTACCATTCTTGGTATGGGTGTACGCGGAGCCATTTGCGGGTGCTTTTGGCAGTTCGGAAGGTTTCGAAGGAGCCACGCGTGTGTAGCATCGAGGAGTAGGATGCGAGGATGTAGAGGGGAATGTCGCCGATGCGTTCGGTGTGGATGCGTTTGCTCTGCCAGTAGGCGTCGTCGAAGGGTCGCTTGCTGAGCATGGCGGGCATGTTCTCTGCGGTTCCGTGACCGGCGAATCCGGTGAGGATTAGTTTGTGGAAGGCCTCGTTGTGCTTCATGCCACCGCGCATGGTTAGGTCTCGGTATAGGTCGGTGAAGCCTTCCCAGGGAGCAAGGGCTTTGAGGGCAGGATGCTCGAGTCGCGAGGCAAAGTTGACCTGTGCGATGGAGAGCCATGAGTTGCCTGCCATCCCGACGGAGCCATTGCACCAGGGTTGTTTGGACAGCCAGTCAATCGTGTCATAGATGTCTTCGGCTTCTTGTTGACCCCAGAAGGTGATGTTGCCTTCGGAGTTGCCGGCGCCGCGGGCGTCGATGTTGATAATGGCGTAGCCGCGAGGCACCCATTCGGCGGGATCGGGGGCTTCGAACTTCTCATAGCCTGAGGTCCGGCTCTTCTCGAGCCCAGCGCGGAAGGGCGCCATGCTGTCGTAGCTCTGGGGACCGGTGCCTGTCTTGCCATAAGGACTCCAGGGGATGATGGCTGGGACGGGGCTGGCGTCGGAGTCGACAGGACGAAAAATATCGGTGTATATCTTGATGCCGTCGCGGAGGGTAATGGCTATATCCTGCTCGAAGAGCACGTCTGTGTGGAATGCGCGATGGCCTGGAGATCGCACATGTCCTGCGGAAAGGACTGTCTTCTTGCCTGGGTGGAAGCCTTGATAATTGTAGGCAGGATGTTCCGCCGGTGGTGTGAGGGGGAACCATTCGAGGTCGGGAAAGGTAGCACGAATCTTCTCTTCAGTGGTAGTCATGATGTTTGATTTGAACGAGGTCTAGGGTCTGAGAATTTGGTAGTATCTGGTGGTCTGCTAGCAGTTTATATAAAGCAGCGGATGGTGTCCATAGAGATCCCCGCATCCCCACTGCCGTTCCCCCACATTCGGGACGCATCACTATCGACGCATCATTCGAGTATATAGAGAGGTATGAGGTGATTGGTGTGGGAACTGTTTCATGGGTTTGAACGCGACCGACAAGTGCCTGGCATTTGTCCAATATCGAGTGGTAGAAGGACTGGCATTGCCGAATTGCAGCCACTGTCCAAGCGATGACATCTATATTATTTGCCTCGGGAAGTGGGAAAGGCAAGTGGGAACACATCCACAGGTTCAGAACAAACCCTGAATGGATGAACAGCAGGGAAGAAGATGGAGAAAGAGAGCGCAAGAGTGGGGAAGTGCGGAGTTGATGGAGGACTGGCCTGGTTGGGGTCAAGTGACTTGCGTCTGTCTCGGCTGAATAACAAACATTCTTGAATACAAGATCTATCAGAGCAAGTCGAAGACACTACTCCATACCCAAGGTATACAACTCCGGCACCTCCTCATCTTCTCCCATTTCCCTTTCGCCCAAGAACTCCCGCACGCCCACTCCCTCCCTCCAGCCCTGCATATCCACCGGCTCCTCCATCGATTTCACTGACGCCTGCCACAGTGCCCTCGCATCTCGACACTGATGCACCGCGCCCACCCCATCGATGTCGAAGATGGTCTTGCCGTGCCAGTCCTTGGTTTTCCGGGGCCGTTCGATCGTGTCATCTGCAGCACAGAGGATGCCCTATCATGGTCAGATTTGAGCAAAGCAGGAGGTAAACAAGTACAATGAACGAAAACCCACCTGAGCAATATAGTCAAAGCAATGCGCCCAATGTACCTTGTCATGCATCATGTTGCCCGAATGCGCCTGACTGGTTGAGTTGATTTTGTTCTCCGTCGTCTCGGGGAAGACAATCGCCCGCAGCACAATCAGACAGTGCAGTTGATGGAACATTGATATCCCCCAACTGAGGAGTAACTTCTCTTTCTTCTCATCAGCAGTGAGCTGAATGCTGTCGGGGATTGTATGAGATAGGATGCCTCCGCCACCGGGCGGGAGGAGGATGGATTCCCATGTCTGGACTTCGTCCGAGTCGTTGACTGTTCGTTCGAGTTCAGGACGCTCGTTGAAGACTCGACCGTGAGTCTGATCAGGTAAGGTTGGGGACTGTGAGGGACATATGGGAGGGATGATATGTGGGAGAAAAGTGGGTGGTGTAAGGAGGAGGATGGTGATGGTGGTGAGAAAGAGGGTGGTGAGGATCAGCGAGATGAGACAGGGGGTATAAAGTGATGTCTTGGACATTTCATGGCATTTCTTGTTTTCTTTCTTCAGTACTCTAATGTAGAGAAATGACCGGGGTATGGTGGTTTCATGATTCTTTTATCTGGGGGTCGTTCTTTATTGTTGCCGCATCGGGTATACAATGGTTCTTTATGGGATCCATGGTTGAGCTGTGTGAAAGCCATGGTTCGTAGCTAATTCACGAGTGTATTTAGACCTCCTTCGAAGTTGAATAGCTAGCTACATAGCTAACTAACTAGGACAGAATATGCCCATCTTGGTACTCCCCATATCAAACATGGATAGACACTATACTAACTACAGAGTACAGGGAGGAGATTCACATGACCAGCAATATCTGCACTAAACCAACACTAATCTGCATAGTGATAAGAAGCCAAACAGACATTCAAATCCCGGGGAGCTAGACTAGCTGCACCACAAGCACAGAGCAGAGAGTGACTACTAACTGTGACGAGAAGTGGCAAAAACCGGGCAACCTGCAGAAGCAACTAATGCGAGCCTGATTGCTGCAAGGCATCCTGAGGGAATGGATACCTTGTCTGTTCGGAATGACGACAATTGGTGGAAGGCAGCTGTTTGTTACTGAGGATTCAGTATCCGTCCACACCATTATTCGTGTATCCATCTATCTATCTAACTGGTAATTGTACACATCTCATTCACAAACCTTACTTGCTCGCAAACCAACCTCGATGAACATCAGTGTAAAAGTAAAGTTCACAACCTAACCAGTAACAAAGTTAACCCCATCTGCAGGTCCGTCAAGTGTTGTTTAAATCCGATACTTCCGAATACCAACCCAGCCAACCGGACTAACCGATTAGCATCATTGCAGCAGCAGCAGCCTGTAGTAGCACCGCCTCCTATCCTGTCCAGGTAGGTGGTAAGTGTCTGGTACTCCTAGTATTCCCCTATCCCGCGAAAGTCAACTAAGTGACGAACTAAACGAAACTAAACCCAACCCCGGTGCAAAACTACGTACCTGCCTAATTTCCTCCCCGTCTTCCTCCTAGTTTCCGGTTGACTGGAATGGAATGGACTGGCGGGAAAGAAAAAAATGGGTGCTGGGATGGATGCCGGTGTCAATACCTGCCCTTTTCGGGCATAAATTACGGGGAAGGAGACAAAAAACATGGGCTCGGTTTGTTTTTTTGTTGTTCAGGTTCAGCCAGCCTCTTTCCATGTCCACCTCCCCGAATGGGTTTAGTCTCCCCTTCCTTGGGGGGATTTCCTATTCCCTAACTGGGATTCATACGTTAATTCCGTTCCCTTATGACGATAGCTATTTACTACTCTCTATTATTACTAGTTACTACTTTGTAGGTAAGTAATAGGTGAATACGTAAATCATCAATAATATTACTGGAAGGAATAGCTACTACTATTACTAGTGACTGTCTTATACGAACTGGCCAATCATGTACACAGTATGGGTGTTTTTCATTCATTTATTGATTGTTTGATTGTTTGATTGTTCTTGTTGTTTTTCATGGTCGGGCCGAGATGGATGGATATTCATCAGTCACATCTATCCGTGGGAATGGTAACTACTACTCACTATTTTACTAGCATTATTCCTGCCAGTCTATCTATCTAGTTAGTTACTACAATATTTATCGCTTGTCTATTTCCTACTATCTACGGAGTAATAGATACATAGATAGATACTACTGTACACATATTATGATAGTCAGGGGGATGAATTCGGTGATACTAGTAAGTACTCCCCGTTATCGGTGTTCGCCGTTTATTTCGATCGCGATTTCGTGCATGTGAGTAAAATATGTAACTACTACTACTTCTGATATGCTATTACTATCTCCTACTACTACTGTACCTACATGCTTCAAGTGCCCGACAATGTACCTGCCTACCTATTTGGTATCTGAGACCGAGATACCTAGTTAGTTGGTATCCCATCCCCTCCTGTAGGTACACAAACCCATCCATGACTCAGTTACTTACCCAATTCGTCATTCAATCAATCAAATCATATCCACTAGTCCCATTATAATTATATCGCCACATAATATATCTACACCATCATCAAGTATACACCACCAACCACAATGCAACCAGTAGATCTTAGACTAGATCCTACTTAGAGTAAACAGATCTAGCAGCTAGGGATTTGAATCTCCATCCTTTCATCCTTCGCTTCGCGTCGAGTCACTCACGGAGTATCTTGGATGGGTTACATCCAAGTTCGCCTCTCGGGCGGGGGGTTTTCATCGTCATTATCCAGCTAACTAATTAGTTAGTTAACTAACCTAGCTAGATAATTACTCAAGTAATGTTCGGGATATGGACCACATAACCGAGAGCAATTACATTGACTGTTCTTTATTCATGTCGTGAAGGCAAATAAAGGCAACAAGGATCATTGAAGTCAAATAAATTATCCGAACGATCTTCTACTATTCTTAGCTATGTTGTGTTGCCCTTGCGGATGTAACACTTGGCATTAGATGCCTTCTTCTTCTGCGGGTATAGCGGCAACCATACATGTACATACGTAGTATAGTATATATCGGTGAGTTTGAATGGAGAATGAATCAAGGGATAGTTAGTTAATTCTACGATTGAGTCAATCGGGGGTTTGTTATATTTAGGTATGAATGCCGTTAGTATTATTGCGATTTTCTCTACGGTGTACGGAGTAGAAAGTATATATTTTCTAGAACTTAGTATCTGATGATGTACTATGCTAACGCGTTGTGGTTGTGTTTATTGTGAAGGCAACTAGTTCCTTACTTACTACCGAGTAAATAGTATGCGGTGGGAGTAAGTAATCTCGCTTCTAGTATTCGTACTTTGTACATATCCTCACTCGACTCATCCTAACGTAAATCGCTTTCTCGCATAAGCGATTCTATTATTTCACTATCATAAACAACTATCCTTTTCAGCTGAGCTACCAGTCAAGACGTCTAGCCTAGCCTCGTGGCTTGTTTTGACAGCTGCATGGCGGAGAAGGTTTCCCTTAACTCCAACTAACTGACAATAAAAATAGGCATCGTTAACGGAAACTCTCCTCCGCCACTATGTTCAATAGACAGCATCCACTGGATCCATTGTGGCAAAATACGGCCCCAGACCCAGAATGCTTTCTAGTACGGATAGATGTCAAAAGGTTGGTGATCCTTCCGTTAACTACGTAGTCGGGGTCCCATAAGTATGATGGTGGTACCTTTGGGGGTCTATCCGTTGTTTCATTCAGGGAAAGACATGTTGAGGAATTAGCTTCCGGGTGTCCTCCCGTCGTAACCGCTACTAGTCAATTTCTTTCTTTGCCTTAGGATTTATTATTCTGTTCTGCCTCCTGTCGTAAGGGGGACGGTAGTCGTCTAGGTAAGGGGGAGAGGGGATGCCACGATGTCTCCAACTGTCGGGCAAGGCCTGGACTGGGCGATGAAGATCGCGCCCCCGACTACTGGAAAAATTTTCAACGCACTGTCATAGGTGGGAGACAACTAAGCAGTTGAAGTGTCTGCTTTGTAACGGGGTAAGTGCTTCCGGAGGAGCAGATCCATGCATCATCAATCGAAGCGACTAGACTACTACCTTATTCAGTCGGATAAGGCAAGTCCGTTATGATATATGCAGTTTTAGTCCCGCAAGGCACTCGCTTCAGGAGAGACATTATTCATCGGACATGCCGACACTATTGCTTGACGTCTGGGGCGCGGCGCTGCAGATCTCTGTGCTTTATCACGACCGTCCCGAGTTTCCGTCAAAGACTGTGCACACCCACACACTAGGCACGGCGGCGGGTGACACCGCCTCATGTGCACTCGGCGCTAAAAAGAAAAAATTCTTTGGTGCCAGAGTCTCGGGGTTTGAAGGCGCCCATGCTTGCTGTCATAGGCTTGTGAACGGGGCAAATCGCATCCTAGCCCATGGGCTTAGCCACATGGACTATCCCAAAGCAGGTTGCAATTCACCCACTTAGCTCGGGCCCATCGTGTGCCCCAGCCACATACTCATCGGGCGTCAGGCACACGGGGTCCATCTCGGGGACCGTCAGGACGGTCCTGTTTTTTTTTTCTTCTGTTTTGTTTTTCTTTCAGTGGACTCGGTATGGTATAGTAAATAGCTGCATGCAGGTTGACATGCCGAGTCATGTTTGTGGGTATCGGAGTGCTGAGTTGCGGTCCTGTCGAGCCCTAATGGGCACAATGCGCTGGTCATTGCCGCTCATTCTCATGCGGGGGGTAGCCGTTCTACGTAGTTCTGTGTGGTGGTCAACCCCTCAGGTCTTTCCGATCTCGCTCTGCCACCTGGAGGAGGCAGGTACCTACCTACATGATGCATAGAGAGAATAAGGCATAATAGGAAGACATGATAGGCAGCTCATGATGGATACATGTGATGTACCAATCCCGTATCTTCATTGCGCATCGTGATTGACCGAAAATGCATCACCCTAAGCAGGGGTGCGCAAATCAGAGAGGAATGAATGGAAAAATGGCTGTCTCGGAACGAATGCGGAGCATCCAATGACCGTCAAAAGTAAGGACCCTCCCTAACCGTAGTAGCGGAACAGAAGTGCGAGCCAGAATGGGGGCCACTATCTCTGCTGGAGTGGGTGGGAAGCAGTCGTCGACTCAAGGGTCCGGACCTGGAAAAAATTTCTGAATTGCTTCCTCGCGCCTGTCGCAGGACCTCCTGATTCCGGAGAAGGCTTCCGACCTACTGGAGAAGGAGAGGGCTAGAACTCCAACTAAGACAATACAAGTTTGTGGTGGGGATTAAGCAGTATGATGGATTGCATCGCGCACACTGCCAGGCCTGTAGTCGACCACTTCAGGAAGACATGCCCGGTCGGAACCTAATCTGGCGAATGCCCCGAGCGACTATTAAGTCAGTGCATTTGATCAGCGACTGACCCAAGATCTTGTCCCGCGGGATCTGGCTTAGTGTCGATTCAAATTGATTATTACCCGGATCTCCGAGTGAGCGAGTGTCTTTGCGCTCAAATTTGAGCCAGTTCTGGT